ATGAAAACGCAAAGAGAGAGGGAGAGAAGGGGTTTTTTTACCTTAGGCAACCTAGACGGAAATTTTCCGTCTAGGTTGCTTCATCCTAGACCGAATCTGTCGAGGATGAGGGCAAAGACTTTTTTTTATAAATAACCGTCTAGTTTGTTAATTTAGATGAAAAATTCAGTTTAGATTGATCTACACTAAACGGAACAAACTAGATGGAATTTTTTCCGTCTATTTTGGGACAAACTAGACGGAAAAAATTCCGTCTAGTTTGTTCTGTCTAGTTTGTCCATTTTTCTACTAGTGATATGGTGGAGAAAGTTTTTTAAAGTCGGAGGTGTGCAATAGAGGTGCTCATGGTTATTAGGGGAGGACATAGGAGTTCGAAAGAGATTGGCGGATGTGGAAGTTGCATTGAAGGAAATCATAACCAAGACCTAAGCAGTGCAGTCTGGATAAATGATCCACACTCTCCTAAGCACTCCATAGACCTTGGCAGGCATCCTAGTTTCCGCATAAGCCTAGGCAGATGCCTAGGAGTTTTAGCTGCTAGTTTTTTAAAACATTGATTGTAATAAACGAATGATGGGGAACGTACTAGTGGAAAAAAATAATTAGAAGCAAAGGTAAATTGATAAATCAAAAAATATAAAATAAGTTACAGATAAATCTCTAGCCTGGTTAGTTATTTCTCCTTATTACTGATACTGAAAACTTTCTTTTATTTTTAAGAGGGAACTGACTATTAGAAGCTTTAAGTAACCTAGAAGTCTTCAACTATCTAATGAGGTAACTCGAGCTCTCATTACATGGTCTGGTAACACTTGAAATATTTTGATTGATATCACTATGCTTTCCTATGTCAGAGCAAGGTGACATAGAGAACAACATTCATCTAGGAAAATCTTCGAGTTTGAGTATTGTAAAGAAAGGGGGAAAAGGAAAAAAAAATGTAGAGGACCTTCTATAGAAAATCAGATAGGGTGTATTACTACATATTTTAAGGCGAGTGATGGAGCTGATACAATATTCTGATTGTATTAATGTTATAATTGTTTGTACTAATATTTACTAATCGCACTTCGTTCTACACGGATTGCACTTACACTTTATTGTGATTGCACTGGTTTAAAATCAATAGTGGGATACATGTCTTATACTCCTTCCCCATATGGTTTTTAATGGGAGACCATCTTGAGGATTTTTTTTTTCATGATCAGTTTATCATTGATTGCATCTACATTTTATTCTGACTGCACTGGTTAAAATTAGTTGTGATATATTTCTACCTTCAAGATTTTCCTTTCATGAATGTCAATTTTTCTTATCAAAGTTAATTGCATATTAATGGGAAATTGATGGGAATATAGGGAAGAGGAGAGAGGGAAGGCGGAATTGCATATTAGTTAATGGGAAATTGATGAACTGTGACATGATAGAGACTATATTGCATGGCATTAGGCGGCTGAAATAAAAGATTTAATTGTATGGGAAATTGATGAACTGTGACATGATTAATGGGAAATTGATGAACTGTGACATGATTGATGTAGAGACTATATTGCATGGCATTAGGCGGCTGAAATAAAAGATTTAATTGTCATCTGTCATCCTACAACTAGTGACGTCTGTTTTAATTTATAGTAATTGATAATGATAATTGATTGGTAATAGATTGGATCATGGAAAGCAAACTTGAGGAAATGGGTTAGTTACATGGGAATAAAGTCTAAGTAACAACTATCCAGGCTACAGTATTCTACCTTATGCGCCCTTACCTTTGCGTTCTGGCCTGAGATTAGCTGGTGGCAACAACACAAAAATGCAAATAACATACGTATAGGTTGAAGCTGATCCTCTTTCTTTTATCTCTTTCCCTGTTCTGTGGGATAACACGTTCGGAATCGGAAGCTATGGATATAAAATCTCAGATGAAGAGAGATGAAGGCGCAACAAGCTAGAGGTTATGTAATCCTCCTCCATTAGTGTGTCAAAAAAAGAGCTTCAGAAAAGTATTTTACTTTGATTTTTGTATTTTGTCCCGCTTAGTATTTGTCTAGCATTGGGGTCTCAAAAGAGATTTGTGTATTAGTTGAAGCTAGTTTGTGCAGAAAATAGCCCACGGTTTTTGTTAATTATTGGGCAATAACAATTGCCGAGATTTGGCAAATTTTATTAGTTGCAATCACGTATAAGAACAATTACGGAGAGGTTTTTTTTTCCAGTCGTACATTCTTTCAACCTTGTGTTTTAAGCAAACATGTAGGTATTATTCAATCTCTATAGTATTTTTCTGGTGCCATGCATTGAGATTAATTCTGCATGTGAAGGAATTGGTACTCGCAAACTTTCTGGTGCATTACGAGGCACTCCTGATGACTATGTATTCAACTGATTTTATATGTATTGTGTGTGGTGTTAGGTACAAGTGGCAATCTGATTTTATATGTTACTAGAACAGACAAGTTAGTCTTCTTTCGACGGTTAACAGGCTTCTGAATTTTCTCAAAATCAGTATGTAATGCAATTATAAGCCCTACCATTACAACGAACCAAACATCTGCAGGTGCTGCAAGCGTTTGTGTGTGCACGCACACGCGCACGTGCGTGTTATTGGTGGTACATGCAATCCCCTTTTTGTGAATACGGATTATTCTTTATGGTTGGTTCACTATTGAGAAATTAATCTTTTGTTGCACAAGGTGTAATTTGATATTTGGATGTTCATGAATTTTTTTGCATTCGAATTGTGATTTTGATTTATTTCCCTTCAGTTTCTTGTATAAGCATGATCCGTTCGTACACGATTCCTGACTAATATGAGTGAAGCTATTACATGTTTGTGAAATGTTGCGATAATTATAAACACTCTGAGTGTAGTCCCCCGCAGTCTCATTGCGGAGTGCCAACTAACCCGCTCAAGCATCCAAACTATCATGAAATGCAATATGCGTCACTCTCTATCATGACAAATGCAAAGTATAGGGTACATACCTCCTAACGCTCGTGCGTGCTCAAATCCAATACATATACTCTCGTATACAACATACGTATATCAATGTGCGACTCGTACTTCACGTACGTAGTCAAAACATGTGAGAAAAGAACAAAGGTTCACAAAAATATCCAGATCAGTCGACCAATCATGTGCCATCGGTCGACTAATGGCTTGCACAAAGCGTGCACAAGTGCCTTGATCGGTCAACTGGTGGTCCATGACCGGTCGATCGGCCAGAACAAATACAAATCCTGCTAACAGTTTATCGGTCAACTGATCATCCTTGATCGGTCGACCGACCAGAAGTAAAAATACAGTTTTCTGAAACAATCCGATATTCTCATAAATTCATTAAAAATCAAAAAATTTCAATAAAACTCATGTGTTAAAACTTGTTTAAGGGATATTAGGGTTTATTCAACTACATAAAATCACAAATATCAAATTCAATTTAAATCTAAACACCATAATGTAGACATCAAAAATTGCCTATAGGTTCCCGCCAGCAGCTCGAGATGAAGCGAAAACGACGAACATCATCATCCGAGCCAGATGAGATTATCCGATGCCATAAAGAAGCAAACAAGCGCACAGAGTGAGTCGGTGAAGCGTACGAATCAGTGAGACAAGCGAAACAACGAAATGACGGAACAAGACCAAAACAAGGCTTTGCCACTTGCGAGTCACATCAAAGTGACCTGCTGGTGTGCGAGTCACATTGAGGTGACTCGCACATGGAGAGTCACCTCAATGTGGCTCGTACACGTGCGAGTCACATTGAAGTGACTCGCACAGTACTGAGTCACCTCGAGGTGACTGCACACTCAGATACCCAAAACGTGTATTTCGATGATTTTCTCAGGATTTGATCATTCTACTGCCTTCCTAACTACCTTGAGATCATCCATAAACATGGTTAAGTCATTATTAACTGAAGATAAGATCGAATCATGAATTCTTATCCAAAAAACATAGCATTCGAAGCCTATAAGTACACGCCTAGGGCCCCTATACAGGGGGATATGAAATTGGAGCTTTGAGGCAAGGTGCTGTCGAATTGGAGAGCAGACTCATGAATTTCAGAGGGAGGCTATCAGATCTTGGCGAACTTCAACATAAAGAGGACGTTTTTTCGAGAGATCTGAGGCTGTTTCCATCGTTCCTTAAGATCAGACCTCATTTTGATCTTGAGAAGAGTACTTATCTCACCTTGTTGAGATATTTACTTTAGTTATTATTTCTTTTGTGAAACAAGATTAATTAGATTTGATTCTTGGTGGTCCACAGACTAAAGCATCCTTGGCACAAGCAAAGACTCTACGCAATCAACGATTGATAAACGATCCTGCGTGTGTTTCCAGGAGATTATATTTATTTTTTTATTTGTGTAGAAAAGTCTTATAAAAAGGCTCCTTCTTTTGAATCTTTTATAATCGATAAACGTTGTAATGGATTCCACGAATAAAAAGATTTTTGACGCAAACACGCTGACGATCACAGTGGAAGCCAACAGCCTCTCTGCCAAGGTTATCGTGTCATAACAAGGGATCAAGATCCCAGTTGATGCAGAGGTCGAGTACGAGTTCGACCAGCAAAAATATGAAGAATACCTCTCCTACTACTCCTCCAAATCCTCTTCCCCTCGCAAGTGGAGGAAGATCTCTTTTTCAAAGAACGTTCGTGAGTCTTCAGATCTGAAGAAGACCTAGGGCGATGACTCTAGCCCAGTTATTTTTGCGATTTCTCCCCACAACGCCCCTCAGCCGTCTAACCAAGCCGGATCTGCTGATCACAATAACCCCTCCTCAATCAATGAGTTAATTACTGGAGGTGTGTCGATTCTGTCGAAGAGGGCTCGTCAGAGGCAATACCAACGCCTCATGCATCAACATGCCAAAGCTTTGGAGCCAGTTGATGAGATTAGTTATCATGCTGATCTGGAGTCAGGGAAGCATTGCAGGACTCAACCGCCTCAACAGCAAGCTATTCACTCC